AATTTATTAGAAATAAATTTACCTCCTTTTTTAAAAGGAGAAAACATGAGGATGTTTGTAATATTCAGTTAGAAGAAGTCATTGAACTAGTTATGCAGACATCACTGATGTAACCTAATTAGGTGCTAACACCTTGTCCTTATGGTGCAGAACTTTTTACATTACTTAAAAATATTCACATTATTAATGTGCCCCAACTTATAGGATTATAGGTATAGTAGTGTACTTTATGGAAGTCTTGATTATGCCATGAACAGGAGAAATTTATAGAAAACATTCACAATATTTTGTATTAAGGAATATTAGTATCTAAGTATAGGGAAAAAAAAGAAAATCAGAATTTCAGTGTCACATATATTTTCAAATTTACATTGAAATACTCTGCCAACAATATGTTTGTTCTTCAGGTCTTTTGGAGATTACTTCATTTCTTTCATGTTTTTCTTTAATGAGAAAAGTAGTTTATCTGGTTCTTTGTAACACACGAGAAGTTTTCCTTTGTGTTGGACTCACGGGTCCATTTTCCTGGTTGTCAGATGCTTCCTTGAACGCCAAGTCCAAGCCTCTCTCACATCACCACAGAGCAGTGAATTGCTTTCATGTCAGGAGTTCTAGCTGAATATAGTTCCCCAGATGACACTGAGATATCAGGGTTTTGCAACTCAAGAACTCTCGGACTGATGGAACTCCGTGTACTTTGAGTCTGAAGCCACCAGTGTCATGGAATCTGAGATATTCTGCAGTCTCCTTTACCAGCAACTGTCTTTTATCGTCTCTGTGCATGTGTACCTCTTGGAGCTCTGTTTCTAATGTGTAAGCCAATATTTTTAACCAGAAACAATGCAACGCTTCTTGTCCTTGTCACATTCTACGCTTCTCTGTGAACTGAAGGGGAAAACTACGTGTGAATCCAGTCAAGCTCATCTTTTACTATTTGTGGGCTTACATTTGCAAACCCAGCCTCCATCAATGCTTGAAGTAATGATGTGCTCGGATTCAGCGCACTGGATCATACACTCTTTGTCTCAACCCAAACAGTTCAACCGACTCCTAGGCTGTGCGCATACATTGATTTTCCACAAAAGTTGATTTTAACAGCAAAGCGAATTTTTATTATCTACTAATTGATTGTATTAGCCATAGAACATAGCTCATCCAGAAACAGTTTTCATGGAGGTATTTGTTAGGTGCGCTGTTGACCTCTTAGATCTGTGTCCTCTTGTCCAGAAGGGCATCCAGTTTCCTCTGAATGTTGAGCAAGAGACTTTGCACAGAAATATAAAAGACACTTCCAAGATCTGGCACAGAACCCTCATAGTAGCCTTATTCTTACAGTGATCCGACATATTTTTAGTTCAATCTCAAGCCTCTGTTTCAATAATCACAGCTTTGTGATAGCTATTTACAGCCCACACATTGCCAGACATTCCTGTTTCTGATTATAGCTTTGCATTTGCTTCTTTTGAATTTAAATAATTTGTGGACCTTCTCCAAGTGTCTGACTGAGTGACAATGTGCTTTGTGATCGACATGGAAAAGAACAAAACGCAATTATGGTGCTTGCCTTGAATTCTATATTGAATCAATTATCAGAGGTGTAAGCTTGCTCTCGTCAGTAAAATAATTTATGTTCTTTAATTGAGTGAAGTCTAAAAGCTTCCCTTATTTTTCTCATCTGTATTGCTCACATATTTACTTTATTCTTGTTTTCCCACTGCCTAGCACTGTACACTGGTTAACTATTTCTGAATGAATTAGATATATTGAAGAAATGTCTATAATGTGTAAAAGTACATTTTGAATGAAATTATAATCTATCTAAGTTTTCTTTTCTGAATCTTCCTGAAAGTTTTAGTTCTTTCTGGGAGTTAGGAACCTGGAGTTCCTGGTGCTTGTGCCAACAATGATAGGAAACCCATATGTGAATGTGGTGTCACCAGGCCTACTAACTGTGAGGCTGCTCCTTCCAGAGCAACAGGGTGATAGCAGGACTGTCCTAAGCAAGTTTTCAGTTGGTTTTATGATGCTCCCATTTTTTTTTTTTTTTTTTGTTAGTGATACAGCCTGTGAAGCTGCTGGGGTTAGATCTTATGAACTAAGGATTTTTTACTTAATTTTGTGCTAAAAATGAAGTAATATGTTGTATCTGTATATGCAAATGGTAGGGATAGATATACAGCTACTTTCTCTTAATTCAATGAGAAGAAAGATTTGTACTAATAGTGTTTGGACAGTATATCATGTCTGCATCCTGTACTATGAATAACCACTACAAAGACAACAATATGCAATATATTAATTATTGCAACTGTCCTACTGACCTGTTTTGAAACTTTCTGAATGCTATTTGTTTCTCAATAAAATTAATAAAAAGTAAAATAAAACAGAATATTTTTTATCTTCACTTTTACTCTTGTATGGTTACTGCTATCTTAATCCTTTTCTCTGTGCCATTTTTAGAGTTTTAGATTTAAATATTTTATTTGTCTATTGTTTTTATTTGTTTGCTTTCATTATGTATTTAATAAAGAGCCATTTTCTATACAACAGTTAGTATATATAATGATAAAACACTGAAACCACTGAGGATTTGAAAGTGCTGGCCAATACAGTAAGAGATGAAAAGGAATAAAACAGGTATTGACAGGTAGAGAGATGAACTGCCACTATTTGTAAATGGTAGGCTTGTTTACTTTTGTTTTCCAATCAGAAAAGAAAAATTCAGTAGTAAGCAGTGACTCTCAAAATATGGTCCTAAGTACCTCACAGCAGTTTGAAAAGTCAGCGGTGTTACAAGTTGACCACTAGTTGTGCATTCACCGCAGAAATATTTAGTATACCTCAGGGTAATATGAAACATTCATGGAAACAAAAATTTCTGCAAGTTTTAACTATATGAGTATAAATTTCATTAAGAACAAGAGAGCAGTAACTGCAAAGAACATGTTTTTAAAGAATAATGGGCATTTGTCTTTTATTTATGGTTATAGTAGAAGGTCAGATGAACAGAACTGTCTCAAAACTGTCTTTACCGTGCACTGTACATATGTGTATATGTATATGCATCTATATGCATTTATTGTAGGATAAAGGAAACACTAGTGCAATATTACAATGAAAGGTATACAAATGAATTCTTTTTTAATCAGTTCTGTAATGATAAAATGCGATGGTCATAGAGGTATTGGTAAGCATTCACCCATTGTTATGAGGTAGCTGTAAATGTAAAACCTTCTTGGAAGGATGTTTGCGATCATACATCAATCAATACTTTAAAATATTCCTATTCTTTATTGTGAACAATTTATTTCTAGCTATCTCTCCTGAGAAAATGCTCAGAAGTGAAGTATCTGTACACAAATCTATCTGCAGCAGCATGTTTCATAACAAGGCAAATTTTATAACAGCATATATATATATATCTGTATCTTGGTCCATGATTGAGTAAATATCATAATGATAAAGAAAAACTGCATTATATATAAATTTTTTGGGGGAATGGGGGTGTTTTGAGACAGAGTCGTGCTACATAGTCCAGGCTGGCCTTGACCTCACTGCATAGCCTAGACTGGACTCAAACTCTTAGTGCTCCTCCTGCCTGAGCTTCCTAAGACCTGGGATTACGGGCCGGTGCCACCATGCCCTTGCTGGAACATTGTTAAGCAAGAAGAAGATGCAACATTTCATATATTTGAACAACACACAAAAGACAATAGAATATTCACAAATTCAGTTATGTAAACATTTTATCAAACTATGAGGCTCTACATCTTAATACATTAATAGTGATTATGTCTCTGAATTTGGGAATTATAGATAATTTTATTAATGCCATTCTGCATTTTCAACTGAGGAACATATATCAGTATAAATAAAAGTAGCCCAATTCAATGAACTTTACAAACAACTATTAAAGTTTTAATTTATGTAGTAGGACTAGTCAGGCAGCCGTTTTAAGGATGAGCTTAGAAACGAGATTCAAAATTCTGCTACAGCTCTTGGTTTCCTGTCCTTTTCTGTGTGCTGGTCGTTCCCATGGGTGGTTCACTTATTTACTGTCTGTTCGCTAGTAAGCTGCATAGCTTTTCTGGATCTTTAATTTCTTTATCCACCAAAGGTTACCCTTTCCTATTCTGAAAGCTGGAAATTAAGTGATAGAGATCTCTAAAGCTTGCCTGTCCAAAACTAATACCTTTTGTCTGTGTGTTTCTCATCTGCTATCTATTGCCTTTTAAGATACTCTCTTTCCATTTGGACTTCTGCATTTGCACCTTTACTTCCCAAGATCTGCAGACTGGGGAAGGGATTCAAGGGTTGTTTTCCTGTCCATCCCTCAGTGCTGCTCTAGGTAGCATCCAATCCTCATGGTACCTGTGTGACTTCTGCTCATTGTAGATTCTATAAGAAACTGTGGAAATTTGAAGACTCAGTGTAACTGGGCTGACTTCCACTCAGCAGTGAGTCGCTGCTGCCTTTTTTCTTTCCACCTGACCCTGTTTTAGGGGACCTTTTATTATATGCGATAAACAGTTACAGACAGCTTGGGCCTGAGTGCATATGTTTAACATTTGAAATGATTAGCAGGTGGGAAATACAAGTTTTGATTAAGCATCTTATATTGTTTATGAAAACTTTAATTTGTAATGAGATATTGTAATCTGTAACTAGTCTGTGGTGCTCCCTGGAAGACATGGTTATATACAGTTGTTAATTCAAATGTCACAAAATACATGAATGGGTGATGCTGCGCATGCGCTTTGGTACAATATTAGAAAACTTATACAGATCCTTTTACTTGATATTAAATGTAAATATCTTAGTATTTAACTGCTATTAAATTCGACAATATATAGCTTTAATCCCTGTATACATTTTAATTAGAAAGCAAAGCCTTAGGATGGATTCTCTTTGCCTAATTTGTCATTGCTAGGGTGGGATTTTCAGTGTTTGTGCTTCTTTATGATTGATGTATACTGATAAATCTCTTTTTAAACTTGCAGCAAATAGTGGCAGCAATAAATGCAGGGATTATACCCTTAGGAAACACCTCCAATCAAATCAGTCACTGGGATTTGGGAAGCTCCTTCTTCTTTGCTGGCACTGTTATTACAACCATAGGTAGGAGACAACTTATTTTGTGTTTTACTTTGGTATAGTTTGTGACTTAGAATACACTTGTGTAAAAAATTTTATACACTGGATCATAATGGTTGACTTAAGGTAGCAAAATAGATTATGATAAATTGGCTTGAAAATAAGGTTTAAAACTTTGATCAGAGAAGCCGTAGAAATGAATTAGTTATTATTTCCAAATAGTGAGTAGCCTTGAAAAATACATGGAAGTCTGAGTGACACAATGTTCTTTTGACAAATGCCCGGTCCGATTAGGACTGACTTAAACTGATGAGTTCTTTGAGCAGACAGTTCTTAACTTATTTGCATCTTCATTTCTTTAGTGTAGCTGAAAAAAAATTGAATATAATTTTACCATTATTTTCATGAAATTTTTATTTAATATCATGTTTCTCAATTTGTGAATTGTAACTCTACATTTCAATGGGCTGTGTGTGGTATTATATGGGCATGTATTGTGTTGACTTCAAAGTTTGTTTTCTTATGTTATATTTTGCCTGTAGCAAAACATATAAAAAGTTAATGCAGAAATGTAAGTTACAGAAAGCACAGCAGTTCAGGCCTTTGATGTTTCCCTTAATCACATTGTGTGTTGTGTTAAAAGAGTCACATTGTAGAATGCGGTCTCTGTTTTGAGCTTGGTGACGCGTATGGTCATAACCTTGGCTATAAGGTACTGAAGCAGACACGGTGTGTGCAGATGTCCCCCTTGTCAATCAATCCTGCTTTTTATAATTGTTAATTTAGTATCAGGACATTATCTAGAGGCTGTTAAACATGTACTTCATGTTCTGGGATGTGTGGGAAGTTTTATAGATTTCCTGCTCATGGAAGGAGGTGGTTTTTAAGAAAAGAAATTCACTGTCCTGAGCACATTTCAGGTAGAAGAAAATGTTGGTGCAGAGGGGAGTTTTTGCCTTCGCCCTATGCTGGTGATGAGACTTTTGTGGTACCGAACTGAACTTAGGTTACTGGATGAAATAAGATTCTGAAAGGTTCAATTTTATTCTTTAATTCCATTTACAAATGACAAAGACGGTAAAATTTTCAAATCTTGTTTTATATCAAAGTCTTCAGTGAGAGAAAATGAAATAGTTATGGATGAATTTTTGCTTAGGTATTTGCATTGTCCTGTAATTACATGAATGCACAGTATTGTCTCTGTGTGTTGCATCACTTCCCAGCTAAATGAACACCTTAGCCTGTTGGAGTTTACCTTTGTTAGGAGGTCAAGAAGCAGTGTTTACTCGTACATTTCCATCAGCTGGGTCAACTTTGGTGTGGCTGTGAAAATCTGGACTAAGGGCAGCCTTGGTTTAGAGCCATAATAACAGGCTAAGTTCAAGGTTTAGACATGTTGGCCATTTCTACCCGGGAAATTACTATTTATTGTGTAAACTACTTAGAATTTTCAAAGGAAAAAAAAAAACCCAAAGGCTGAGGGAGAATGGTTTGTTGCTTCCCAGTGAAAACTCTGAAGGCTGAGTTAGAACTCATCATGACCTCCTCTAAATTATTTTGCAAGAGACTCAGTCATTATGCAGGCTAACTGGTGCATCTTATGTTTATGAGCAGTCTCACTTTTGGATCTCCCAATTCAGTAAGCTTTATAGACATGTACTTCGATGCATGAAAAAATAAACGACTATTACCAGCTTTACCTCAAATTATAGCCAGTAAGTACTGTAGCTGATTATTTAGGTTATTTAGGTAGCTGTCCTGATGTTCTGCTCTGCTGTCTCAGTATTTAAGCTCAGGTGGCTTATGTTATTGTGAATCATCCACACGAGTCCCTTTTACTCCACGGTCATTTTACTCCCAGATCAAAGTTGTATTTTTTGACCTTGGACTAGATTATGAATGAGGCCAGGGTGAAAATTTTCACCTCTTTCTTAAGTGTGCATTTGACATGCAAATCATGATTCCATCAATTTAAAGTATAAATTTTTAAAATTAATTTTATTGAGAAAATATTGCAATGTGACAGCTTCAAAACATGTTGGTAGGAGAGTTACAACAATTAATACATCGCATATTGTTGTCTTAGTAGTAATCATTCATAGCCCAAGATGCAGACATGATATCCTATCCAAACACTATTAGTACAGATCTTTCTTCTTATTGAATTAGGAGAAAGTAGCTATATATCTATCCTATTTTGTATATACAGATACAAAATTGTCCTTCGTTTATCTCACCTTTTTTGTTCAGTTTTGTCAGAGGTGGGTATTCCATTGCCATCCAAATATTGCAGGTGCATGTATTCGGCAAAATATTCCAATATAGTCCAGTACTCCACAATAGTAGTGGGTTATCCACAGGTCTGCCAATGTCTGAATCCGATACTTGAATCTTAAACAGCTCAGCATATTAACGTGGCTTCACCTTTCCTACCTTGTTTCTACACTTTTCTGCTGGATGGTTAAGACCAAGATAAAGTAAGACCTATATAACAAAAAATGCAACTTTTGTATCTGACACGATCAGTCAAGTCCCCTCAGGACTTATCCTGAAACTCTGTACAGCACTTTGTAGATCCTTTGTCAGGGTCAGCCATGTGGATGAGTCACGGCCATTGCTTGACCAATTTGCTCTCTGTGAAAGCCTGAGAGAATGTTTTCTCTCCATATGATTCTCCTGAGGCACACTCTACCTCATCGACCACTATCCTCTGTGGCCTCATAATCTCCTTGATCAGAAAATTTGGGACACCACTGAGTTACGTGATGTTACAGTATAAGTTCTCCTGTGTCCTGAGTCTTCACTGACCTAGAAGGGCTAGGGCCAAAATATTGACTCTCCTTGAAGCCCTTCTTTTTCTCTAATTTTCTGTCTGCAAACTTAGGTTGTTAATCCTCCGGAGAGAAGCTTATTATTGCCCTACAACATATGCAGGTGGGTTTAGTGATACATGTGTACCTATGTTTATAGCAGCACAATTTGTGATAGCTAAAACTTGGAAACAACCAAGATGCCCATCACCTGAAGAATGGATGAAAAAGATGTGGTATTTTTAAACAATGGAGTGTTACTCAGCTATAAAGAATGATAATCTCAAAGCCTTCATATTTAAGTGGATGCCACTTGAAGATATACTCATAAGTGAAATAAACCAGACCCACATGAGTAAATATTGTATGTTCTCCCTAATACAAGAACCAAAAAGAAGAAATACAAATAGAAAGGTACAACACAATTAAAAGGAAAGCGAGAAGAAGGCAAGGGTAAAAGCTAGGAAACATGACGGGGCAAAGACATACATTTATATGTACAAGATGGGTAAGGCAATGATCCTGAGAACTATCAGCAGGTTGTTGACTCTAGCAGTTACTGGGTGGGATTATCACCCTGACTATATATGCTGATACATGTGAACTGAGCGACTGCACCAAAGATAACAATGTGTAATAGTGGGGTCATGCTTAGAATGCCCGTCATTCTGGTCTTCTAAGTACGTAGTGCTTGTCATGACATAACAATTATAGCCAGACTGTATCTCAAGTAAATTTATTTTAAAGATGTTCCATCTTATGCCTAAGATGTCTGATATTCAGACAGATAGTGAGATTAAAGTATAATTTTTAATATTGATAATGATACTAATCATGAGCTTTGAAGTGTATAGAGTATTAGCAGTCATAGAAATTGGAACCTGTCTTACTGGCTACTTTGTATTAGTCATTACAAAAATACAATTTAAGAGCATTTTGGAAAATATAGTGTAGTGGCTGTTTTGTAGGGTGCTTAGCATCAACAGTGGATTGTGGAATTCCACTCGTCAGAGCTGTCCAAGGTTTTCTATTCCAATTTATCAGTTTGTCTAAGAATCATGCAATTATGCAGACATGACTTCTGTTTTTCATTGGAAATATTCCCAAAGAAGTTTAGTTGTACAAGTTATCACAGTAAAATTCAAGACAGGAGGGCCAGTGAGATAGCTCAGTGGACTAAGAGCCTGCTTAGGCAAGCGCAGGGACCAGGGTTCAATCCTTGGCACCACATGCTGCATCAGCCCCCACCCCTGGGCACACTGAGACAGTGACCGAGACTGGGTATGGTGGCATACACCTATAATTCCAGCGCTAGGGGAGGCTGAAGACAGGAGGATCACTACAAGTACTAGCTGCATAGTGAGAACCCGTACAAAATATGTAAATTAAAAATAAATAAATAAAAATTCAAGACATAACTTTAGACAATCACCTCATAGACCTACATATTCTTTCTGACATTGTGTTGTTCCAAATTTTCACAACTCCCCTCCCGCAATTACGCTGACTGAGGTGCACCTTTGGTTTCCCTCCCCACACCCTGCCGTGTGCACAGCTGCTGACTCGGCTTTTGAAGCCGATCTGCTGTCTAATGTGTGTGCCTTCAGCCGCCGCTGTTTCAGCCCAAGCTGGCCTCGTCTTATGTTCGTATCGTTGTCTAAACCTGCTTGGACCTCCTCCATAGACTCCAATTCAGACACCAAAAGCCACTGTCCCTGGACTGTCCCCGTAGGAAGATGCAAGTTCTACAATATTAGGTTATGGTTATTTATTTGAGTTTTTGTGTATCCCCTATGCCTGACACATAGTAAATGCTCAATAATTATGCTTCAAATTAAAAACAAATTAACATTCCAAGTGGTAGGAGCTGCAGAATATTGAATGTTACTTAACACTAAATTGATACATATGACACTAATTTAACTCACTGAACAGGTTTCTTTACCAGCTTTTTTTTGCTAATCAGTTTAACAAATAATAAAAAAGCCTAATTTCTCTGCTGCTGTAAGGATCAAAGATAAATCTCTTGGCCTTCAGTGGTACACGGATCCACTAGGGAGACCAGCAGGCAGACATTCACAGGGTAGAGATCCAGGTGCTCTCAGCTAAGAGCAGTTAGTGGACATGTGTGGGATGGTGTGGGCCAGCCTTTAATTCACATAGGCCTTAGCGGGTGAGGAAGGGGCAAGAGACATTCCTTTCCTTGGTAAGTGT